CGCGTCTGATCCGCGCGGATGTTTCAATCGTGAGACGGCGTTACGAATGCGCGCGCGCGCGTACGATAATCCGCGTTGCGTCTCTTTCACGACGGCGAACCCTCGGCGGAGACCTGGGGTGTGTTTATCGGGCGAAATGAAGCGCCCGAGAGAGAGAGAGAGCGAGAAGGAGGGTGGCTTGACGGTAATGTGGTTCCAAATAATACCTACATGTAAGATATCTCCTTTTAGTACGCGTACTTAAAGCGGATCCCATGCGAATCGCGTGGCTGCTTCTTCGCTTCAATCCCGCTTTGCAACGAACGCCTCAATTATTTCGCTTTTCGCTCGCAGCAGTTAATAAATAAGCATTGTTCGCCAAAGTATCGAAGTTCCAGCGAGACGCTGCAATATCCTGTATAATTTATATACGCGTCTTACACAGACTTGATAGGAGCGCGGAGATGAAATTCCGGGGATCGCACGCGCGGGGCACTCTGGATTCACCCTTCCCCCCCCCTCCCCCTCTCCTCCTTGGCGATCCTTTTTCGACGCGGGCGCGAGTGAATTTCCAGCGAGCGCGACGACGACGCGCAAATATCAAGCGTCAGGAAAGTTAAATAACGCGCAGAGATGAAAGTTATACTCTCACGTCGTGGATCGGTCGCGTTTATTGTCCGTACGGCGCGGATTGATGCCGGGGCGTCAAATTGGCCAATTTCCCTCCCTCGATTTCCCGGCGGTCAGCGGTCCGCGAATTTATTTTTCGCCCATATAAAGCCGCGTCGGCGGTGACGGCGGTGACGGCGGCGACGGCGACGGGGGTGTGGTAGGTGAGGGTGGAGGGGGATGATATCCCGCCCGCGGATACTTTAGCGCGGAATTCGCCGGCTCGTATTGCGAGCGAGCGTGGCGTTGAACGCTGCAGGGTTGAATCATCGGACGTCCATCGATCCGCCCCTTGTCGATATGAATATCTATTAGACGTAATTGATGTCTACCATCCGGCGTAGCGAATGCCGTGGTAAATGTCAAATCGGCCTCGCCCACTCTGACTGATCGGTGTTGTGAAAACGCTCCGGCACGGCGATAGACGAGCTGCCAGCAAATTGTCTTCTGGAAAAATTTCACTGTCGTTGGGGACATCGAGATATCGAACCGCTTTTAGTTTCCGCTCCGGTGACACATAGCTATGCGGAGTGTATAGACGCTATGCGGAAATAGAACGGAGGGATAAGAGACGAGAATTTTTCGATTCTGTACCCACGCGCGCGCGCGTATTTCGTATTTAATTATTTTAATTTCGTTTACAGAATTTCGAATTTCGTGTGATAAAAGACCGTTCTTGCTCTGCGAACTCTTTTGTGATGTACCGTATTTCACGAGAGAATGGTCTTGCTGCATTCTTTTGAGGAAATGTGTGCTTAATTGAGAGAAAATGTATGTCTAACTGCGAAAATAGGAGGGGAAAGTTATTAAGAGGTCGGGACACGTGTTCTTAGTTAATTAGAGCCGCTATAACGCTGCAAAAAAAAACGCAAAATGGATATAAGAGCTATCGGTTGATAAAGATACTTAGCAGGCAAAGAGAAGTTTTAACGTCGGGCCGACAGCAAGATTTAGATGCGGTAATAAGTTCAGGGGATGAGAGGAGAAATTGACGCCACAGGAAAGGAAAGCCGGGGGAGAAGGTCTGCAAAGTTTGTGGGAGTGATAGGAGGACAGTAACGCATTTAATGAAAGAGCACGTTGGTGGGCAACGAGAGAAGGAAAAAAGGGAAAAGGTGTCGGGCACTGAGAACGATGAGTTAGATTGGACGGAACAAGTGATGAGAAAAAGGGACGCAAAAAGTGGAAGTAAAGCGCAGGGAAAGAGAGGATACGCGACGACGCGGTCAAATTTAAGAGATGGTGGGAAGACAGTAGTGTGGAAGTAATTGAAATCACAAGATTAATGCGCCCCGGGACACACCGACGTTCCTCGGGATGTTAATGAGAGAACATTAGATATAGTTCTTATCTTCGTTTTTGCGGAACGGACGCTTCGCGAATTCAACGTGCGATTAAAAATCTCGCCGAAGCGTCACTTTTATTCGTATACACATTCTGAATGCACATTCAAACTCTTTTTTTTAAAAAAAAGGAAAAAAAGAAAAAAAAGTACGTTACGTTTTAAAAGCGGCACTATTAACACTGCCATTATATCATATACTGCGATATCAACGAGAACAGACAGCGCCTTGTTCGAATGGAAATTAATATGAATTATCAGTAACATAGAACTCAATAGAGAGTACTCCGTGCGTGCTGGCATTATTATAATTATTATTTCGATATTAGTTAACAAGACATTCAACCGGGCGCACGTTTATGCAGCTCTTAACCAAAATTGATTCACATTTCGCACATGAACCGCAGCGGGAGATTAATTCATGTTCAAGATATTATCCCTTCCTGTACATATAATATCCAAATATTCATGCCATCACATATCCTAACTACCACCCGTTCTCTGTATAAACAAGAAGAATAGACCTGCGCGAGAGATTCTGCAATCGATTGCCATTGAATGCCGTTCTATGCTATAGCAATTTCTATTCTACATCGAGAAAGCTAACACAAGGGACTATTTTCTTTCATAAAAGATATCAAAAAAAGTCCTAGTATTAAGATAATAAAACAACGTTACGCATTGTCACGAATAATTAGTAGCTCTCGAGCGAGTTTTTCCGCGAACGATGGCGAACAGAAAAATTCCGCTTTCGCAGGGTCAACCCGGCCATAAATCTCGCTTTTCGCCGTATACATCCCGGAAACAGTGACGTAACGCGTAATACTGTCGGGAACGGGCCGATCCGCGAATCACGATCCGCCATTTACATCGGGCCGAAGCCGATGTCCGAGCGGGCTTCACTACGTGCCCGTTCCACCTGCCTGTAGGATATCCAAATCCTGCTGGGGATGTGGTTCGTCGCTCGATACCCTACACCCTGTCACTCTCCTCCTCCTCCTCCTCTTCCTCCTCCTCTTGCTCTTCCTCCTCCCCCACTTCCTCCATCCTTCTCCTCTATCCCCTCCCGCGGCTTTAGTTCCTAGCAAGAAGAATCGATACATACCTGAAGTATTCCACGTATCTGTCCGCTCTTCGTCTCGACGATGCGCGAGGCGTAGCGGGTCGCGGCCTGTGAGGAAGCCGCGCGACTGCGGCCGGTCAGGATTAACAGGATGATCAGGGATAGCACGGCAAGTCCTACGCGCGGTGAGCAACGTCCGGGCCTGATCAGGCACCGACTCGTGACCAGCGGCCGGCTCCGGGCCGCCGGCTGGCATGGCAGCGGCATGACAGCATTTGCTGGCGGCCACCTGCAGCGACGCCACCAGCATAACCGTACGGCGACCTTGGTCGTCGGTGGACAGCCGTGCTGATCGGGCCAGCCGGGTGGTATCTCCGGAGTATCTCGAGAGTGGCGGCACTCCGCTCGGATTTCCGGAAGACTGTCTAATCCGTTCGCAACGTACGGCGCCTCGACCACGTCCCGCAAGCCGCTCCTCCGTAATCCCGCATTACTGGTCTGGCAGTCACTTTTCTTCCGCGCGTTTTATTCCGCTCTTAACTCCTTCCTCCCTCCCCCACCGGCGGCTTCGAGACCGGAGTCCAAGTTAAATTGCTCTCAAAACATCTTGAATAAGAAAGTTGGTAGACGACCGGCCTCCGCGCCACCGCTGCCGCCACCGCCGACGTGCACGGTAGACGCCTTTGGACGTTGAAAAGAGCAGGTTCCGGTCTGTAAGTAAACGAGAAAATGCGGTGTAATGAAATGCCTGTAAAATTCATCATTTTCTTTTTGATAACAGCTCTGCACGCGTTTTACATGAGCTAAAGGTAAATGCAAATTACACTTGTTTATAATATTGTTACGTAGATCGTGTAATTTCTGGATGAGAATGACGTCATCATAAATACAAAAATACGTTCAGCGATGGATTCTACTTTCTTACACAAAGAGATCGTACGCAAAAAGGGTCTTTTGTCTATGTTTGTAATTACAACAATGGGTCTATCAATATGAACACATCGCGCTGACGCCATTGGGACTTGCCATTTATCATTTTTTCAAAATCGTTGATCCGCATCCGGTTTTGTGGTAAGTCCGCTCGGTTGGACGTGACACTCTGACGAACGGGCGCGATCCGATTGATCGGCAGCTCCCAAATTTATGGAATTCGCCAGTCCGGTCGCGCGCAAGTGTGCAGCGTACAGGGCGATTAATGCGTTTAATCGAATCAATCACTTTATTAATTAATTCCACGATCGGTGCAACGCTCCGCGATCGGTCATTAAATAAATCGGATTCCATTGCATTGTTAAAATCGTAATCACAATCGAATTCAGGTTTGTAAACCTCCTAGATTAAACTACTCGTGGAACTACTAAATGCACATTGGGACATTTAGTAATTCATCTCTTTCTCTTCCTTACCGAGAAGAAATGATGAAGAAATATTTGTGAAACTTGGAAAATTGTGCTCGGAATGAAAAATGCATAAACACCTCAAAGAGGAAGAGACCCTTAAGAGTTACGTCAATCATAATTTGCGTAATGCCATTTTTCTTCAAATCTCGTGAATTCGGTCGCGAAAATGCGGAAAAACGCCTTCGCAAACTTCGCAGCCGAGTGAACCGAATACCACCACGAGCGGCCGCATTATCTTAAGTCTCGGAAACGAAAGGAAAGGAAGGGAGGTGAGTGCCGCGCAGCAGCGGCGCGGACTACAACCGACCGAGGTGGTTGACGCGAGGACGACTGAGACGAAGGGTTGCGGGAGGGTGGAGGAGACAGCGAGGCACTGATTGCACCGGGAAACTTATCTCCCCGCAGGACATCTCGCTGATCAATCCCCTCCTTCTGGTTTCAATCCCCCGCATTTCTGAGCCCTTCCCCGACCCTCTTCCTCCCCTCCTCCCCCTCCCTCCTCTCCCGCCACTTTTCCCTGCGCCGTATTTCCACTTAGGGTTAACGGCGGCTCTGCTGGTTTCGCTCCGCGAACTTCCTCGTCCGCTAACGATATCACCGCCAATGGCTGATTTAAATTTTTAATCGCGGCTGCATCGTTCCCGATGGCGGACGTGGTGATTGGCATCGTCCATTCGAATCTTCATCTCTTTTTCCCTTTCTTCCTCTTTCCCTCTTTCATGGAAATTTTCTTTCTATTCGGTCGTTGCGAATTCAGAGCTGACGGAAAACTGATTAATTAGAAAGCGAAATGGGATTCGCCAAATCAATTTCTTTAGCTTACATTTCCTCAGTTCGTTCGCAAATGTGCGAGCATAAAGCTTTTCTTCGAGACTAAGGCTCTGCCTTTTGATGATATTAACGTACCCTCTCGAAATGTATAACAAGATAAGAGTAGAAATCATTACGCGTTTTTCGTTACGCGTTAATTCATTACGTTAAATTTCATCATCGGCGTTTTAATGAGTTTCCGCCGTAACTTCGTGCCTAAAGCGCACATAAATTATTGCTTGTATTATCAAACTTTTAAGTAAATCCATTTACTCGACGCGAATGCGTTTCCGTCGTTTCGTGTCGTCGCGTTACATTATAACTCCGTACGTTATATTACGTAATATGATTTATTTAACGTAAACGGATGGCAACGGTTCGGACGAGAAATATAACGGTTAGATGTCTTTTGGCAGTTTCGTTATATCGCCATTCTCCGACGGTGCGCATCGACAACGCGTTTTCCCAAGAAAAATCGGCGACGATAATAGATACGGTGCCCGTTGGGGAATAAGTACTTACAATAAATTACAACTTTGATATTCAGAACTTTCTAAGTCGCGGAGAAATACGAGATAAAGTTCTTTGTTCCGGTTTATTTTTCCCAAATCGATGCGCTCGGGTCTTCGCTTCATTACCGCAATTTATGTCACTTTTTTTTTTTTACTAGAACATAACAGGCGCGCGCTATGCTTTTCATATTACATATTTTTATATTATTCGTTGATGGTAGCGACGTACCATCGGTGAAAAATAGAAACTCATTCATCCTCATGTTCATCTTATGTTTGTCCTTGTTCAAAATCGATTCAAAGTTTCATTCGCTACTAACCTCACCCGCCTTTTACAAATTGTCATTTGCAAATTGACGGTAACTCACGAAATTAGCGCAGCAAAAGAACCAATCGGCATCGAGTTGCCGCGGCAACAATAAACTTCGAGAAATGCGAGTAATCGAATTAGCTTAACATCTCCTTTTTTATAAAGGATTCGTGGCATGAACATCCATTTTAAATCCGTCGTAAGAATTATTATCGCGAAACTGTAAGAGGACCTTCTGCGAAGAGGAGATAGAGAGAGGCGGGTCAAAGGGTAGAGGGTTCTCGATCGCTATCAAACTCACGTGCGTTTGCTTAATCCATTATGCATCTTGCCTAACCGATTTAACTGCGAGGTGATATCGATCCTAATGAAACCTCGGCATAAGAGCGCGGTGATCGATAATCGCGATTAGATCGGCGAACGTGGGTCAATTCGGTTATCGCGCGAGCAACGCGCGAGACTTTCCGTCGTTCTGGAATGGAACACCGAAGGCTAATTTAATTCAAGCCTCAATTATCGGTCGTACCGATCCCCCAGGCGGCACTAACTTTCGCCCCCTCGATGTGGCGTTCGCCGTTCCCAGAGGAGACGGCCCTAGGAATAGGCGTGTAATATAACTGCGCCAGGCCCTCCGCCAGCCTTGTGTGTGCTATATCGCTTTATCTTCGCGCTGACGTTTTCATCCGTGAGAGAATCGAACAAAAGGATATATCGATATTGACCAGGCTCTCGCTCTCGTAGCCGCTCGTCGCTCTTTCCACGGCCAGTCGATCCGACGACACGAACATTGTTTGTCATCCGTCACGCGCGCGTCCGGCAAGTCGCAAAACAAAAAATAACTATCACTTAAATTATAGTGTACTACTCGCGAAATTATCATTCCGCGTATTACAACAAACATTCACGAGGCAGATTAATCTCGGGGATGAGCGCGGACGACAAAAGTTTTTAACTACCTTTTTTTTCGTTATTGAAGTACGACGCCGAGTTATATGGGATATTCCGTTATTGCGCCATCTCCGCCGGCGTATTATTACAAGTCTTGCGTTAAATTGAAGCTTCCTCCCCCTCCCCCCTCCCCCCTCCCCCGACAACGTTTATTATTCCAAGTGCCTTAGAGGCAATTCCATTTTTCGAGATTCCTGTCAAGTTTCTCCACTCTTTAACGGCACCGGTAATTTGCCCAAGCTCGAGGACTTCCTAAAATTTCTTAAAGTAGTCTCTTTTGAAACGTTCCGCGGATTGTGCGACGAGGGAAGTCTCGAGCCGTCATTGTCTGCACCTCGCGACTCGCAGCCGGGCGTTTGAGAGAGCGACGAGCGAAAAAGAGGATGGAAGAGGATGGGGTTACGAGAAAGTCGACCGGCGGAGGAAGGAAAACGCATTCGTTCGCCGTGAAGGAAAAGCTCCCCCCCCCTGCTCGTCTCTCCACCTGCCGATGATTTGACTTTATAATCGAGTCAGCCTCGTTCAATTACAATGGAATCTCTCGTGGAATTTGCCGCAAACAGTGCGCGATTCAGTGCGGCCCGATCGTGTTCCCCGGTAAATATTCGCCCGGTCGGCACTCCGCGCCGGATGCATAAGCCGTGCGCGACGAATGATTTTCAAGCTCATGATTAATTCACGGACGGGAAGCGCCGTTAGTTTCCTCCGAAGGGGGGAAATGCTGCTTAACCGGTCGGGGTATCGTAAACGAAAAATACCGTTCGCCGCGTACTCAAACAGGTAACACCCGCGCGCGCGCGCGCGGGAGGCATTATTATTGCTACGCTACGCTAGTAACGTTAATGTCGTATAAATGCCAAAATTTGATGTAATATTACGATCGTGCACGTCAATGCATGCTTATTCGAGATCACTCGTCGTTGTTGACGCATTCCATTATTCTCAACAAATACGCACGTCATAGAAATCACGCGCGGATTTCATACTCCTACGTAATAATATTCACGATGTTGTTATGTGAGAGAGAAAGAGAGAGAGAGAGAGAGAG